AGCCCTATATATCACCATATATATCCATTCTTCGATCGTCTAAAATAAGCTACCTAGCTGTGGGTGAACTACCCTGTGCTCTGATCAGTTGCATCAATGCCATTTCAGTATAATTATTTTGGCACAATCAGTTTGTAATTTTTACTACAAATTAAGGCAGAAGTACTCATTGAAGAGATGGATTACATGAGTTTTGAAATTGTTTTCTTGGGATGGACAGTTCAGGATCTAAAAGTAGCAATAATATTCTGCAATTCTTTCACATGGGGATCCAGACACCTAAAATTAATGAATGAGCCCTATGATCTCTTAAGGTAAGGAAGTACTGCCCTCATGCTTACATGGGAACTAACTGAGGCACAATTTTTTTATTTTTTTTGCCCATGGCTATATAAAGTAATACATGATTGAAGAAAGAATCTTTCTAATTTCACGAGATTTAATCTCTGACTAGGCCAATCTTATATATTGGTTATGCTCATCTTCCACATATCTATATTTGCATGTATATTTCATTGGTATCTGAGCAGCCTCAGGTATTGTTTCTCTAGGACTAAGATTATATGAACTGCAACATATTTAATTTTTTAAACTTCTGTATGACCTAAATTGGGTCTATGACTATAAAAACCCTGAAGTAGAAATGCTGCTGTTAGCTTTGTCTTTGACTGTGTCATCCAGCCTACAGGGTTCCCTACAGGTTTAGAAACTTGGTGGCAGAAAAGCAGTGGCACCACTCCCCCCACCTAACACAGAGCTAAAAGGGGGTAATACCTGGCCTCAGGACCCAATCCCAGAGTGGTGGACTGGACAGAGGCAGGACTGGGACCCTGGAGCCCAATCCAAGTGCACAGGGGGCTGTACCACCCCCTTGGGATCCAATCTCAGCATAAGGGGAAAGGAGGGCCAGGTCCATGGGCTCATCCAGCCTGCAAACTAGCTTTGTGCCACCCATTTAGCCTGCAGGGCCAAAAGGTTGAGCACCCCTGGCTTAGACCATGCTCTCTTTGTACTTTTCTACTACCAAGTAAGGCTCTGGAAATTTACAGCTGGTGAATTCTGAAGTCAGCTTCAAGTCTGAAGAACTACAATGTGATCCCTATTTTTGTGCGTTCAAAACCAGAAATTCAAATGAATTTATTTCCCTTCTTAAATATTTTAATAAAATATTCAGTCTCTTTCAAGTAACCATGCTCTAATTACCACCACACAGTTATATTTACTAAGGCTGCACTGACAGAGATTTTGGGGGCTGATACAGATAGCTGATATTTAAGGAAGTATATAAGCTGATACTGATACGATTTCCTATACAGCTGTGTCCAGCTGGTAAGTCTGTTATGGTGGAAGGGGAGGAGGAACGGATACGGGGGGGGG